CCACCCTGCCCGGTAGGCCCCCGGAGCGGCAGCCCGTCTGGCCTGAGGTCCCCGGGTGCCTCCGCCCGTGGGCCCTGCCTTGGGCCAAAAGTTAAAATGTGCGATGGTGTCGCAGGTAAGCGCCTTCCGCGCGTCTTTCCCGAGCGGGCGCTCAGAGGCTCCCCCCCCCTTTTGGGGAAAAGCAAGAGCGAGTGTGGAAGTTACGTGGTGCTTGGTGGGGTCCTCGGTGGATGCTGGGCCCAGGCGGCTGCCCATGGGAGTGTGCGGGCCGGGCCCGGTGCTGCTAGGCCTCACCCGGCTGCAAAGCCGAGGTGCTGGGAGCAGGGCGGGTGTGATAGGGAAAATTGGCTTAGGTGTACCGAGTGAGGAAACTCCACAGTTTCCTCACCGTATCGGTTCCAACCATATGATTTAGGTTTATTTCTTCCGACAAGTGGGCACGTGTGGTTAAGTGAAGGCAAAACACCCTGCTTTGACGTCTTTTGGAAGAGAGTATTTTGGTTTTTTTTTTTAGTTTCTTATTTACTGCCCTTGTAGTTTAAGAAGGGCAGTATATTCTACACTATAGTATCCTTGAGTTTGCTTTTACAGCCATTTATCGGAGTGTAAAAATAGTTTGCTGTCTATATTAAGTCACCAAACCTCGATAGCTAGAAAGCCTTCATGATATTTTTGTTTGGGTGATGTTTGTGTTTTGAGTTGGTTTCTTTTTTGTTAGAGGAGTAGCTATTTAAAGGACCTAGTACATGGCACAAGGCCATTATCAGTATGATTTAATACAGTGAATATAATGGCATGGCTTCTTCAGCTGTGGTTAAAAGGGCCAAGTGTGGGCGGGCATCTTAAATATCCACCTTCTTCAGTATTTCCTTTCTTCAATGAACCATGCTAGCAAGCCATACCAGATAATTTTCTCCATTTTTAAAGATAGTACCTCACATAAATTATAATTCTGGTTCAGAAACCAATAAATTAGTGACTCCAGCTAGTTAAAATAGCAGTTCTTGCATTGGCTTATACAGCATTATTTTCTGATGTTTACTAGCAATGGTGTCCATAATTACAGTAAAAGAAAGTAATTATAGAAATGCTCTTATTTTAGACTTTGTTTTGCATATTTAGCAGTGTATGGCAAGTTTCATTTTCTTAAGTCTTGCTTCCTGGTTTTGAGAAATTGCTCAAAGACTTAGATGCTGCTGGGAGAAAATAATGTACATGTTTTTTGCATCAATTTGATTTTGTGTGAGAGATGGTAAAAATGCCTTAAGCTTTTAGAGGACAGTTACGATTTGTTGAACATACTGTCTGTACTTCACCCTTTGCCTCAAAAAGACATGTTTGAGCTTCAAGTATCTAGGAATAGAGAAAGGTATGGAGCAGCCTATGGACGGATCACAGGATGTGGGGCTGAGGTTCTCAAATAAGGGTTGTGGTGGGCATTATGGAAGAGATCTGCTAAATGATGAATTGTGGTAATGGAAAGATTGTGGTTTATGATCTTGTCAGTGTAAAAGCTTGTCATAGGCCATCAGTTTAGATTGTGGGATCCAAGTTCATAGCAGACAAAAGCTTGAGGGGTATTAGAGAGCAGACCTGTGGTCAAAAGACTGAATGCAAGAATCTGCATGTGTTAGAGGAGGAGTGAGGTTCCTTGAAAGAGAGAGGTCCACTGGGGTTTGCTAAACAGACAAACTGTGCCTGATACAAAATCTCTGTAGCTGGAAGAATACTTTCAGGTCTAAGAATTTTCAGATGTTTTGCATGCTTTTGTTATTTTTGTTACCTGAATGTCAGCTTATGGCCACAACTGGTTCCAGAGTAGTGGACTACATTGATGGTTTTGTTTTCTTGTAGGTGTATTTTTTTTTTTAAATTAAGTGTAGTTATCATCAATCTAATTAATATATTGTGGAGAATAACCCTATTGAGAAGAATATATCTTCTGTGAGAAGAATTTATCTTCTCCATCAGTTTTTTTGCACTGAGCCATAAAAAAGGGGGAAGGTGGAATTTCTTACCTTCAGGACTTCCTCTTTTCTTTTTCCTGCCTCTGAGAAGTAACTGGGTTGACATGCCCAGATCAGGTGTGCTACCACTGATCATGGGTATGAGGTGTGAATACTTGCTCTGATGGGAGAATTACTCTGATTTGTTCCTTGCCATAAAACCCTTAGCTGCCTTTTACTGCTGCTGATAATGACTTTCTTACAAGTAACAGAACTTATTCCAACAAATAGATAAGAAACAGTAAAAATTCTGAAATATAAAAATGAGATAACTGAAAATGGAGCAGTTCAATCATCTCTGTTAATACTTGATACGCTGTATTAAGGCTCTAGGGAGACCGCATAGTAGAACAGACTTTAGCAGTTTCAAACTTAACAGCTATGTAAGCAGTTATCTGACTAATTGGCCACTTTTATGAACAACGTAAGCAAATGATATGTTGTTATATGTTCTTAAAGTACACTGCTATTTATAAACATAAGTGTGGTTTGGTTTTTTTTTTACCTGCTCCAGGCTTTGTTAGGTGAAAGACAATGTTTTCCTATGTGATTATAATTATAAAACAGTTTACTAACACTGCAGTATTTGATTCAATGTTTCTATGTGTCTACCACAGAAGGCCTTTTTGACCAAGTCATGTGATCTGTTAATTGGACACTAAATCTGCAGGCATCAGCATGTCAGTGTTTGCCTGTATGAAGCCACTGTGTAACAGTTCAATATAACAAAATTTAGCTTTTACATCAGATCTTTTAATATAGACTTTCAGATATTTATAAAATAGCAGTGTTACAGCAAACTATAGTTTTAAGCCTAGATTGAGATTTGATTCTAAACTTCAGTTGATTGGTATCCTGATTGTTGTGCTACCTTTAATAAAATCTTTTATCCTAAATTTGTAGCCAGTGTTTTGTTTGTGTGACAAGGTGGAGTACTTGGTACGTGTGCCCAGTTTATCAGTATGCATGTTTGGTTTTTTTATCAGATAATTGGCATGTTGGAGAGAAGTGCCTTGCCCCTTGTCTTGAAAACGGAAAACTTCATGAAGGAACAATATCTTCTATTGAAAAGGACAAGAATGGAAAATCATTTGCTGTTGTATCATTCTTGGAGTCTGAAGAAAGGAAAATACTGATAACTAAACTCTGTAGAGTCAAAGCAAGTAGAGGATCCTGGAAAAGCTTAATATTTGATGATGATGATCTGGAAAAGCCTTGTTTTCCTGACCAAAATCTTCCATCTCCTTCAGTTGCTTTTAAATTGTCTGACAGTGGTGATTTTATTCCATATACAATTAACAGATACCTGCGTGATTATCAAAGGGAAGGAGTCCAATTTCTATATGGACACTACGCTAACAAAAGAGGGTGTATTCTTGGAGATGATATGGGCCTTGGCAAGACAATACAGGTATTCTTTTTGATTGTTTTGGTGAGAGAACAGATTTTTTTTTTTGGCAGTGTGTTTTCTGTGAGATGTCTTTTCTTAAATATGTTATTTTAAAAAAAAAAAAATTTACACCTCAATGGAGCTTAGCCTCCCTTTGTTATTGTGGACTTGCAGGGTCAGTACATGACCATCCAGGGTGGCACTTAGATCAAGGAGCTGTTGGTGATTTAAGATTCACTCCTGACAAGCCAGAAAACTGGGATGTGTTTCTCCTTTTAGTGTAAACATTGGTAGTTATGGTAGCTAAAACATTAGTACTGATGTTGAATTTACTTTGAGGATTTCTACCTGTGCATCAAGAAAGTAGTTTGCAGTGGAGTGTGCTGAAAAAAAAATACAGCCCTTATTTGGCTGTAGCACTTCAACTGACCTTTCCCTTTTTTTAACCTGAAAACAAGTAGTTCAACTGTATTGAGAAGAAGGAGCAGACAGCATTTACTCCCACCTCTGGAAAAAGTGCTTAGATGTTCCACATTATTTTTATCACTCTAGAAACTGAGGTTGATGAAAGGATGAAGTATGACTGGGTTTTTCCGTTATACTTTGTATCAGTGTGGCCCAAATGATTTGTTTATTTTAGTAATATAAGAGTATTTTTATGTTTAAAATTCTCTATAATCTGTCTGGTTTTAACTTAGCAGTTTGAATCCTATGGCTATCCTATGATGGTCTGGGTCACCACCTCCTTTATCCCTCCATGTGTCAAATATAAGCTCATTCCTTCGCTGAGAAATGCTGGCTGTAGCATCTGCCTCCCTTCCATTTAGGAGAATGTAGACAGACACCCTTCAGTGCAAAGAAGTATTGTTCTGTAGCAAACTTGACAAGGGAGTGAGTAAACTAAATTGGTAAAACTCTGGTTAGAGCATTTAGATGTGCGTCATGGATTTGTGTAGCTGCTGCTGATCTGCTAACAGGTGTTTATTAAAACTAAACTGCATCCATTTACCTTATGTTTTACCTAAGCTTGACCATGTTTCTTGTCCATATCAGTTTAAGAACTCGATAGTTACAGAAGTTTTTTTCTACTCAGAACTGCAAATAATCTGACTTCATATAGTAGAAAGCATCTAGATAAGGTAGTAGTAGACTGTGTGGAGAAAAAAGATAAGTTGTTTTGCTTACATCTCATGTATTTTTGAATCTCTGAGCTGGACCTATAGTGACCTGCTCACATTTATCCTACAGTGGTGTGTGTTCCTGTGTGGAATTTGCATTTGATGATTACTTCTTCTAATCGCACTGTCAAGTTTGCAGAAGAAAGGTAGAGACTTTGAAGAATATGTTGCATAATTTTTTATAAAACACTAACTGTTTTTCAAGTTCAGTGTGGAAAAGGCAGTTCAGTGGTTATGAAGCAAGACGATTTAACTTGTTTAGAAAAGATGAGTATGATGAGTTATGAGATAAAGACTTTCCTAGAGAACTTCTACATTTTAATGTTTTTTTTGCAATTCTGATTTTTGCTTAAAGTGGCTTCTTCAGTGTATGGTGCTTTTCATTTCAAGCTGAAGTCAAGGTGGAGTAGAATAATGCTGTTTCTTAATGGGATTCTAGTTAGTTTCTTATCAAAGCCTTTGTATTGCTTCCTGCTTTAACTGGAGGAGCCAAAGGTTACCCTTTTTCAGACTTTGCTATTGTAACAAAGTTGTGATGCATAATTCTTCCAAAAATGGAGGATCTGGAAGACATATGGAGATTTTATGTTCAGTTTTATTGTTATTCTCAAAAGGATTTAAAAAAAATTAAGCCAAACAATATGTACGGACTTGCAGTTACTCTCTGCCTCAGTTTATATGAAATATTACATATCAAAATGCTTGGGTTTAATTTCTTCTACATGTCTCTTTTTAACTCTTTGTCCCTACATGCAGTGGGTTTCCTCTCTCTGCTGTTCATCCTTTGCTCTTCTCAGGTATTTTTCCTGCACTTCTGCACCCCTATCTGGCTTCTTTCACAAGGAGAAAGCTCTGGAAATTTCCTGGTTTTTGAAAGTCAACAGCTGACAGCTTTACCTCTGCCCTGCTATGAGCAGCTGTGTAGCAGCTGCAGTAGGAAGTGGCTGGGGCTGGCTGCTCTGAGTAAGGACAGTGTGTTGAACTTTCAGAAGAAGGGCACCAATCTAATGATGATGCATCTGGTCCCTGCTGCTTAGCCCTTTGGAGCCCATTTATCCCAAGTGGCGTTTTGAGATTTGCGTGATCTGGCCAGGTATCTCTGTGCCTTCTTCCTGTTTTGGATTACCACAGGAGCAACTTGGAATAGCCTATGTTGGGATGTTTGTTCTTGCTGTGTTGCATTATAGTTAGTGTCTTCTAATAATGAAAAGAAAATCACCTTGACTGGTTTGAGGCAGGTAAGACAACATAGCCAAACACAACAGAAGGAACTAGTTTTGAAGCTAACAGCAGGAGTCAGAAGGAATGGAACGTACAGAAAGTGACATAGTAGTAAACATCTAGTTCAAACCTCTTCCTTTTGCATAAGTAGTGTTGGGAGTATAGTTAGGAAGTATCTCTTCCTTCTGTTTTCTCATCTAAGACTCAAGTGTCCCCTTGAAAGCAGGAGAATTGCAAGGCATGCCTTATCTATTTTTCCTATCTCGTTTGTAGTCTTCTGTATTTTGGGTACTCTTCAACTTAGAAGATGAAAAATAGAGCAATTAATTGCTTATCTCCTGAATTTGAGATTCTTCAAGGGACTGTTATGCAGTTTTAACAACTGTCATAGACTTAAACAAACAAAAAACCCCAAACAAAAGCGCCAAACCTACCTTACTAAATTCCATGCAGTATTTTGCCTTAAATTTTTATTTTCGGTGAAACTCACACAATTTCTGTTGGCATTTTCGTACATAATCACTGAGAATTGTTTTCTTTCTCAAGGTCATTTCATTTTTGGCTGCAGTGTTGCACAAAAAGGGAACGCGTGAGGATATTGAAAATAATATGCCGGAATTTTTACTGAGGACGATGAAAAAGGAATCAAAGTGTAACACCAAGAAGGTACAGATTTTAGTGATACAAATTTAAGAATTTTGGTAAAAGGTGATACTTGATGATTATTTTTTTGTTTGTTTTTTTGGTTTAGGAGTTTACTAATTTTTAAAATTTGACTATGTAGGTAGATTATGGGTTCATGGCCTTCCTGGTAGTATTAGGGAAGCCTTCAGTTTTTCAGACTGTTGTAGTGCATTATCTAGTTATCGTCTGAGATGTTAATACTGTTGATCTACACTAACACAAAGCCTTTGGAAAAATCTAGATCAGATTTGTGGCTAGAGTACTTTCAAAACCCCATGTTAATGAGGAAAAAATGATAGTTTTCTGTGATTGTTTCTAAAGTACGAAAGGCACGTGTGTCTATATAAACAGAACATTTAAATAATTAAGACGAGTGCAAATTTTTGGAAATTCTATAACTAATCTTATAACCTCATGTATTTTCTTGAATGACTGTCATAATGCCACAAGGAAGTCTGACTGATAATGTAAGTAATTAAATAGAGTTACAGCAGATGAAGATGCCTGTAAAAGTTCTGTGTGAATGAGAGAAATCTAAAGATTATTTTAGCTTTACCCATGCAATTTCTGTTTTTTGTTGCTGTTTTTTATTGGAATAATTGGAATATTTAGCTGGAAGAATGGTTCATATGACTGTAGCTCTGTGAATAATGGGTACAAGTTCCTTGGGAAATGGAAGTAGAGAGGAAGAGGTGAAGGGATGATAGTGCTTAATGTGAAGGAATCAGGAATGCTTCTGACTCGGAATAAAAGAGGAAGAATTTCACTTTGAGGACAATGAAGTGTTGGAACAGGTCACCGAGAGAGATTGTGGACTGCCATTACCTTTGGAGGGTTTTGAAGACCTGAGTTGAGAAAGCCCTAGATGATCTGGTCTGAATTCAGTGTTTGTACCTACTTTAACCGGAAAGTTGGACTAGAAACTTCCTGTGGTCCATTCCCACCTCGCTGCTTTTATTATTACATGATATTAAATTAATTGCATGAGCTATCTTAAATTTTTAAACCCTTTTCAGGTCTTTCTGTTTTGAAGTCCTATAATGATTAGACTTGTGGATTGGAGGAAGCTGCTTACCGTCTTCATATTTTTGTTTTCTCCATCTGTAAAACACATGGCATACAGATACAGACGCTGTAACAAAGCAAAGTGGCAATATCTCATGTCTTATTGCAGTTATTAGATTATAATTTTAGTAAGTAGCTCTACTTCAGTATTTTTTTAGCATTATTTTTTTCTGTACTATTTAAATACTGAGTAAACTGATTACTGTTGAATTCATATTGATAAGTCAGATATTCTTGTATAATATGCTTTGGAATGACAGAACTAAACAGTTCAGAGTGTTCAAAGCAGTAAAATAAATACCAAGATTTTGACTTGCCTTACTGAGAAAGTGCTGTGTTGTAGCTTTTCCAATAATATTATAACACCTATTTGTTTTCAGACTTTCCTTATAGTGGCCCCTCTTTCAGTGCTGTACAACTGGAAGGATGAGTTAGACACATGGGGATACTTCAAGGTCTCTGTCTTACATGGTAATAAAAAAGATGATGACTTGAGTCGTATCAAGCAAGGGAAATGTGAAGTTGCACTTACAACGTATGAGATACTTCGCCTGCATTTGGATGAATTTAACAAGTAATGATTTTAATGCTGGAGGTTTTTTTCTGTTCACAGAGTTTTAACTATCTAATTTAGCATTATTCTTTTTAAGTGCTTGCTCCTTCTGGGTAACGTATATACTGTTAAATCCAAGGACTTGCTGTCCTGAAGGGGAGAAAATGGGGGCTAGCTAAAGGATATGCAGAAGAGACTTCTATCTTTCAGGACAATGTAAGACAAAAAACCTCATGTAATTCTTAGCAAACATTCAAAATGTGTTTTCTTTGTTATGTGCACTTTATACCAGCTGCCCTTAGCAGCTGGTGTTGTCAGTGTATCTGCAGATCTTGTAATTTTTGATGTTGGGAAGGGTCGAGACCATCACCAAAACAATCAGATCTCCATCTCTCTCTCTATGCTCAGGTCTGAAAAGCAGCACAGGCAGGAGAAGTCTGAAGCAGTACCCTAATTTTGCAGTTGTCTTTCTGAGGAACTCTTCAGTCTCGGTCGTTGAATAGACAGTGGTCATGGAATAGGTTCATGTGCAAAACGGATCTGATATGTGACTGACTGCTTGCAAATGCATTGCTTCAGCATACGGATTCACCAAACTGTTTCTGCCGAGCATGTGGCTTGATGTTCTTGAGATCTTGACACTGAAAGGGGCTATGTATCTTGCTTAGAGTGGTGAATTGGCCTTAAAAACTGGTCTTAAATACTTAAGCATTATTAATAAGAATATATATGCTCAGTTATACGTGTAAATCAGCATAATGACAAATGACGTTGAAGGAGCTGGTGTGTGCTAATCTGTTAAGTTCCTTTCAGAAACTCCCAGTTTTTAGCAGATTGTAGGAATGTCAAGACCTCAAATATGAATGAATATATTTGTTAGACATCAAAAATGCCACAAGTTATGCCTTCAGATTAGTGAACTAAATACATCCTGCTCAGGAGAGAGCTTTCCTTCTAAATGTATCTGTTTAATTTTTTTGCTGCTTGAAGTATTGTCAAAGTAGATACGATCTTGTTCTGAGATACTCCTTCATATCTCTAAAGCAATCACATAAATTTAATAAATCTCTTCCTAGGGATTTGCTGATATAAGTTACAGTATACAGATCATTCTACCTCCAAGTTTTATGCTTAAACCGGCTGCAAAATAGCTCTCAATCTCCACTTCTAGATATGTTCCTCCTGATCACAAAATGTCAAAATGTTAAAACTCCTCTGTCGTGTTGGTATCATACCAATATTAATGAAATTGAGTGATGCTTTTACGTAGGAAACCAGATTGAAATGCTTTCAGTCTACTTTTCGTTACACGTAATAGATTTTTTGGGGAAAATGAAGCATACTTGTGTTTAACCACGTTTCAGTAGTTAACTTTAAGAGATTTATTTAATTTTTCTAAATCTTGCCTATGATTGCAATTAGTGCTGTTGATGTGCTGGATTGATTGCTCCAGAGAGTGAAAGCTGCTTTTTTCACAGAAAGCATTTAAGCCAGTTAATAGTAGTTATTTATTTGACCGTGTAGTTTAGCTGTTAGGTTCAACGATGCAGTTGAATTTATTAAACAAACAGAATGTGAGATGATGGGATAAGTAATTTCAGTTAATACAGTATTTCTTGTTCATTCGCAGCATAGACTGGTCTGCTGTGATAGTGGATGAAGCGCATAGAATCAAGAACCCAAAGGCTCAAATAACTCAAACCATGAAGTCATTAAAATGCACTGTTCGCATTGGCCTTACTGGAACTATTCTTCAAAACAATATGAAGGAGCTTTGGTGTGTTATGGACTGGTAAATAAAGCATCCTTTTTTTTCTGGTTAAATGCGTCTATATGTTAACCACGCAGTAGGTCTGTGATAGAGCTGGATGATATGGGACCCAGCTAAGTAAAAAAAAATCAACCCACAACACTCACGCCCCCTAGGTGAAAACCTAATTCTTTGTGAGAGAGTTAGTATGTTTTTTTCAATACATCTGTGGAAATAAGCTTCAGGTATGAATTTTGCAGTTATTTAATACATTTGGAGCTCCTCCTACCTGGCTGCTTTGGTGAATTTGGGAAGCAGCTCAATGTTTACATTTGTTTTCTAAGGACACTTTTTTTTCCTTCTTCTGTCCTCTCTACAGAAGATAGAGAATCATTACACAGTTTCAGCCCACATTGTGCTTTTGCTTTGTCCAGCATGTGCAGGTTATTCTGACTTACTTGAAAGATGAAAGTGATCGTGTTTATCTCTTTTTCAAAATGCACAAGTGCGTGTATTTGCAAAGCAACAGTCTTATCCAGGAAAAGTTTAATGGAGAGAGGTGGAACGAACCCTAGATAGTAATCTAAACATAGGAGATGGACTAAGAATGCTTTACAGAACAGGCAAACGCTACTAATATAAAGATATACAGGCTGAGTTGAGTATCAGGAGAGAAGGACTTTATCAGTAAGCTAAGTGTTGCATTTGGTCCATTAAAACTATGCTGATGTTCAGGTGTTGTGCTGCCAATTATTACTAAATTCCCTTTACCATTGGATTTATTAAGATTTTATTTAATAATTGCAATATCTGCATGCCTGATTCTAATAAAACCAGTAAAAATGTAAAATATGACCACTTAGCTTCCAGTTTAAACTTCTGAATGGTAGCAATGTTGTTTTTTAGAGGTTCTGTATACTTCTGTTGGACTGCTGATTTTTTTTTTTTTTTCTCCTGGAGGTGGCAACCGTTTTCCTAAGGGCAATCTTATAACATTTGTGGCTCACAGGAAGTAAAAAAAAAAAGTCATGTATGAAAGTAGTAGTATATATTTCTATTTGTATAGACAATTTTTATTCATTTCCCTAGTGATTGTTAGTTTAAGATCTCTTGCTGTTAGCCAGAGAAAATTTATGGTTTAGTTTTAATCAATGGAAAAGGACAGACTTCCTTGGCCTAAAGAGAATGTTCTTACTCCTTCACAATCTCCCCACCTCCTTTGTTTTTTAATAGGGCTGTACCAGGACTTTTGGGCAGCAGAGCAAATTTCAAGAAGAAATTTTCTGATCCAGTGGAGCATGGCCAGAGGCACACTGCAACTAAAAGAGAGCTAGCAACAGGTCGTAAGGCCATGGTGAAGCTGGCAAGAAAAATGTCTGGCTGGTTTCTGAGACGTACCAAAGCACTTATCAGTGATCAGTTGCCAAAAAAGGAAGACAGAGTAAGAGAGCCTGCACATTTCAAATATGATGCTTGTGAATATATCTCTTCTTTTTGTTTTTTGTTGTGTTTTCTTTCTTTCATCATGCCTGTAGTAGTTTGTGGTTTTCTTTTGAACTTACGAACTTAGGAGTTGAATCCAGAGCCTTGGAAAAAATGCACGTGCAGTAGTGTGCTTTGTTCACATAATTACTATGATTGCATGTTGAAATGGAGTTAATCAAGCATGAAAATGCTCAGCTAGACTTCTGACTAGTGATTTACACGTCCATTTTATATGCACTTTTGTACTTATCTGAGCAAACCCAATGCAATGCATGTAAATCTCTTGAAACTCTACGTAGGGCTCTGAATTTGCAATTTGACACTTTCTGCATGAAACAGTATACTTTCAGATTTTTAACTCTCGCATTTTCCATCACTAAATAAAAGAAAACCTGCAAACCTAAAGCTCATTGTTGATAGATCTGTAATCCTGTTCATGTAGTGCTATTGTGAACATTATATGAAGTGATAATACTGTATGACTGTAGTGAAGAAGTCTGATAAATTCTTAATGCTTATATTTGTGCTTTCCTTCTGTGTAGACATAAATTAGTTTGCAGCTGTTCTTATTTTCAAAATATGGTGTTTATTCTTCATCCGTAGTGTATAATAATGCCATCTAAACTGTCTTCTGAAGGAAAGATTAACACAAATGTCAGTCAATCGCTTTTCTAAATCTAGCAGGTTTTATTCTTTTCATTCTCTTGTTAATGTGAGTATATGTCCAAGTTACTGCTGTATTATTATAGCTCAGCATGGTGCTGCTGCTGTGTGGGTGGCCTAGGTTAAGGAATGATCTTGGGATTTCTGTCTCCTGCTGTTTAAGACTAAAGATGTCATGGAGATGCCACCCATGGTCTCTAAGAAGAGGGATAAGAGTTTTGGCCATAGCACTGTGTAGATCCTTGCATTCTCATTGCTTATTCTGTTTGTCCTGCCTGAGATAGTGCCCTACAACAGCTAGTGCCTAAAAAGAAGAAAGAAAGGGCAAATTAAGCAGAGAGCAATCCACAACTGCAATTATGCAGTTATTTCTCTCAGTTTTTCTCCTCCTTCTATATCTCCACAAAAGCCATACTGAAAGGTTTATAGAAACCTAACAGCAGGTTCTTCTAGCTTGACATTGATACTCTTTGTAGAATTTTGGGAGAGGATGTAATAAGTATACATACATTTTTGGCGACAATTTAATGCTGTTTTGGTGTCAAGATAGGCATCTTTTTCATTTGGTTGTAGAATAATTTCCTGTAACTATTTGAGGAAACGTGTTCTTGTTTTCTACTTTATTCTCAGTGTTTCCACAGTTTTATGCTTTTTGATGCAGTGCTCTTTTGCTTTTCATTGTATGCCTCACATAATTGTGTTTTGGGGATTGTCTCATTGACAGATGGTGTACTGTTCCCTGACTGAATTCCAGAAAGCTGTGTACCAGGCTGTGCTAGAGACCGAGGATGTAAATTTAGTATTACGAGCAGGAGAGCTCTGTAGCTGCAACAGCGGCCGTAAGAGGAAGAACTGTTGTTACAAAGTAAGAGCTTGCGCTGTTTGGATTTTAGAATATAGTCTTTCTGGTTTTCCTAAGAGATCCTCTGTTGATGAAGGGCTCATTGAAGTGGCTGCATGGTCAGAGGCCATCTGTTTGGGGAATCCCAACCGGAAACATGGGTAGCTGTGTCACGAGCATGATGGCATTAGACACTTTGGGATTATAGTAAAGCTGCTTTGCATGCCTTGAGCAGGTGGCTGTTAACTTGTGCAGTGAAATCTGGGTGTGTTGTACTAAGTGTGCCTGTGATACAGTTGATGTTTGCAAGGGAACTGCTCTGGGATGTTTAGTATGTGTCAGGCATGCTACTCCCGTGTGCCTCAGGTGGTCCATACAGAAGCTGCAAATCAGAGACATTGTGGACCTAGCAGCTTATCTATGTTGTAGTTGGATTGTGTCTTTCTATGCCACAAAAAAGTACTGTGCTTTATTCAAGGTAGAACTGCTAAGTAGTCATAAAGCATAAGCAGCATTTTCTTCCCTAGTAATAGCTTTGCAGATTTTTTTCTATCTTCTCTGGATTTGTTTAACACTCAATTATTGTAGCTTCATAATTTATTTTGCCCATACCACTCAATAGGTTCAGATTAAACATGTCTTTTAAGCATTTAGAAGCATATGTCTCATACCTCCTTCTCCCTATTTTTCTTCTAGCCTATTTTGATTTTTGTGTAGTGGTTTGGTTTTTTTTCCCCAAATGCTGTAACTTATTCAGTCTTCTGCATGTTTTTTTGAAAAACAATCCTCTGATCAGCCAGTTTCTTATTCCACGGATACTAGCATTAGTATTAGTTCTCATGCTATTTTGTAGGAAAAGTAAAATGCTGTTGGGCTTGATTGACAAAATGCAGTAGGTAGGCCTGCAGATACTTGCTGTTACAGACTGTCTTATTCCAAAGTTAACTGTGAGTTTAGGCTACTTGAGATGGGAAAGGAAAACAAACATTGGTTAACTCATGCAATGATAACCAGCAGAGTAGCTATTGCTGTTACATTTGAAGTTTTTTGAATTATGCTACTTGAGATATTTATAAAACTGTAGTTTGCTCAACAACAGAAACACACAAAGTTAGCAGTTTTAGTGTAAGAAGTTGAAACAGCTGTGGTGTGATTTACATTTAAATTAGTTGTAAAGTTGTCTTTTTGTATACTGAGGGATTCTTGGTTACCTTAGCATGATATCTACAGAAATTATCTGAAATGAACATACCTGTGTCTTTCTTGTTTTCAGCAGTATTTGTTTGCGTAAACATTTTTTGTTTTTGCATAGGTAAATGCTCATGGTGAAACAATTAAGTCACTGCGTTTCAGTTACCTGACAATCCTACAGAAGGTTGCAAATCATGCTGCACTGCTGCAGACTGATAACACTAGCAAGCAACAGGTTAGTTTCAGAAGTATCTAAAAAATGGACATATGAAAAATGGTATGAAAACTCTTGAATAAAAATTGCTGCTGAACTCCCTTTCAAGTCTTAACTAATTGAAATAAGGATACTTTGCAAAAAATTCATTTTCCATTCACTAATCTAGAATGCAGCCCTTCTAGATAGAGCTTTTACACAACAATATATTCATTTAGTTGATGCAGATCTGAAAGTAAGTGTTATAGATACATTGGAGAGCTTTAGTGGGGTAGTCATTTTTAGTGATTTCTGATAGTATCATTTCAGTTCCATTTATGACAAGGGCCTAGGAAGGGGAACGTCTTTGTGCAAATAGATAAATAATGGACAGTTAAAATGTGTTGTTGGGTTTTTTTCCTCTAGTTCTTTGTATTCAGAGCTGAACGTCTCGAAATAATGGGAAACATGTTTTAGTAGAAAATGCTCAATGAGAGAACACTATCAGTTTATCTTGCTACTGTGGCATGTAACCTACAAGATCCATAAGCGACAGTGATCCTTAAGATCCAAGAGTGAGCAAAGAGCTTTAGGGATGTTACCACTTCCTCTCAGAAGAATGCAAATGAGAAAATTCTGGCTAATTTTGGCAAGTTTATTCCATTTAGGCAGTTTTTCTTTTTAGGAAACGTTACTGTTAGTATCCAGGGCATTATACACTGTATGTAGCCAAATGTTTTCAGCATTGTCATTTTTTTTTATGTAGTGAATGTAGTTTTTGTTGTAATAATATTTGAGAGCTTAAATAGACACTGAAATAACTATATATGAGTATTTTGAGAGTTACGCACTTTTATGACGTATATAATTATTAATTTCTCCAAAATCTGCTGAAGAAATTGACATTTTGTATTATTTCTTACCTTTATCATTACAGTTCATCACATGAGTTATTCTTAGGCAGAAGACAAGATCTTTTCTGCTCCTCTGGGAAATTAGACTTAAAGTGTATAGTCGTGTTGAACTTCAGAGCCACCCACATTCCAGCAGTGCAACTTTATGTGGCTTTTGAACAGTTCAAATGCATGACCCGTACTGTTTTTTGTTGTTTTGATGAGATGACAATCTAATTCTCATATTGGCTTATCTTGCCAGAGAGGCAAGAGAAATGCCGGTACACAACTGTTGGGTAATGCAAACCTCAAGCCAACAGAGTTCCTGCAAATGACGTACTGGCCAGTTGTCCTGGTGCAAGCCGACTGACCAGCAGGGAAAGAAAGGAATGACGAGGTCAATCACGAATGAGGAGGAGAGCCCGGAAGGAGCAGTAGGCAGAGCCTCGTGGGGTTGAGATAAAAGCAGTTTGCTTTAATGATGAGAATAACAGTGAAATAACAGTAATAGCAGTAGTGTTTAACTAGATAGCATGTAACATGAGTAGTATGCGACGCAGATGTCTTACCACCCAGAACCCTACGCACCGAGCATGACTTGATGATGGTATCTAGTATCCCCTTGGCTAGTGGCTAGTTTGGTTCAGCTGTCCTGGCTATGCCCAGCTCCCATTCTCCAGCGAAAATTAACCCTATCCTGGCTGAACCCAGTACACCAGTGCCTACCCAATAGAAGAAATTTTGGCCATCTCTTACTCTAGTAACTTGAATCCACAGTTCTAGATGAAGATCCTTTTCCTCTTTTAAATAAAGCAACCCAAAACATACAGGAGATGTTTCATCCGGCACTTCTGTAGTGAACTGAGCAAAAACATGTAACTCTATTTATTTTGGCGTATTACTTGTTTCAACCTGTTTAATTACTTGTATGAGTTACTGGTATTCCCATGTAGCTCTCATTTTTAATGCTTGTTCAAACTTTCTGCTTGTCTTCCAGGATGCACATATCAAACGGGTGTGCAGCCATGTGTTTTCCAGTTTTCCAGATTTTGTGCAGTTAAGCAAAGATGCAGCCTTTGAAACAATTTCAGATCCAAAGTACAGTGGAAAAATGAAGGTAATCTTGTTCTTTAGAAGGAATCATAGAATCATAGAATTACCAGGGTTGAAAGGGACCTTAAAGATCATCTAGTTCCAACCCGCTCTGCCATGGGCTGAGACATCTCCCACTAGATCAGGTTGTCCAAAGCTCCATCCAGCCTGACCTTAAAAACTTCCAGGGATGGGGCTTCCACCACCTCTCTGGGCAACTTGTTCCAGTGTCTCATCACTCTCATGGTGAAGAACTTCTGCCTAACACCCAGTCTGAACCCATCCATTTCTAACTTTAATCCATTCCCTCTAGGAAAATAACTTAGTAATAGATCTGCTGTAATATAGGAATATAAGAAAACGTACATGCAATAGTTGTGTTTTTTCAGTCATTCTGTTCGTGGTGGTGGTACTATGGCAGGTATATCCTGTCATGAATCAAGGTGCCTCTAGGCAAAGTCTGGATAAAAGTGATCTGTGATGCTAAGATATCCTATGATGCTAGCTTCACATATTTAGTAATGGGCACAGAAATTACCTTTATGATCAACGGGGTTGGGGTCATAATATTTTGATAGATAGTTCCGTGAAACCATTGACTCAGTGGCAGTCAGAAATATTTGGGAAAGTAAAAGAGAGCAAAGTCATTTTGGACTTAATTGTTTGTGCACACCTTCAGTCTTGTGGGTGGTTCCAGTTCTTCCTCTCAAAAAGCATGTATTAGACCTTGAAAAGTTCTAACAAATAAGGGCCACAAAGGTGATCAGTATTGTGGGACAGAAGCAGCCAAATAGGCTGGGAAAAACTGTCTTAGGATGAGTGTGAGAGGGACCTACACAATCATGAGTAGCATGGAACTCGTGAAGATGTACTGAGTGCTTACTGTCTTTTCTAACCCTTTGGACATTAATTGAAGCTAGTAGGAGCCATGCTAAAGATGAACAAAATAAACATGTTGGGTATCTTTCTCTGTTTTCAGGGGGAAACAGGATGAGTAACTGAAAAAGCTAATTAAGAGGAAAATTGTACTAGGTTTAGGATTGTTCTTGAGCTGAGACTAGCTGGATGGTGGGAAGCTGTGCAGAATGGAGTGTACCATATTTTTCCTGTCTATAAACCTGAATATTCACAGTTCCTGGTTGGGACTGGTGGGGAGGTGGTGGCAGGGCCCTGTTTTTGTAAACACTAATGGTTGTTACCACTTTATTGATTTGTTACTTTGCGGGCACCATCTTTCTTTTCTGTTACTACGTATGTATGAGAGCCCTGCATGTTAGCTGTGTTATATACACTTAATTATATCCTGAAAGTCAACTTTATTGTTAAATTAGCTACTAGCAAATATTTAATACATGCAAAAACTAAGTCCATAATCTTCAGTGGTGCTTATGAAGCTCTTTTTTATTGTATAAAACTAATATTCTTTTTTCTAGAAATTAATCTGTTGGGGCTGTTTATTTCACTCCAGCACTGCCTTGCAACATCACATTATGTGTGTTCTGACACAGCAGTGAACAACACAGCAAGCAAAAAATGTCTGAATTAAGAGGGCAGTTCCAACATTAGGTACCTTTAAAGCCTGCAACTTACAGAGGGAGGAATCTGCTTCAAACTGTGACTCTAAGTTTGAGTTGCTTCTGGTACCATACTGACTGCAGCATCTTCTCAGGGGTGCAGCTGGCTATGGCTCTGTGGGTTGGGTGTAACCTTGGCCGGTAACAAGTAAGGCTCTTTTCAAGCTTAAATGCAGTGGCTGTGGGTAGTAAGGAAAAAGGTTCTGCTGCTGGAGTAAGAGCATAACCAGGTGGAAAGAGAGCAGAGACTATGATCTTCTTAAGCATACTGAGCTTATGTTCATAGAATCATAGAATCATAGAAT